GAACAACACGGTGATAAATATTCCCTGGCTGCCATTGAGTCACCCAAGTGGGTATCCCAGAGTGCAACTGAATACACTTAGTACATATCTTGTTTAACAGTTCGTCAAGAAGCCTGTTGCTCACTGCTGCCAATTATGTTAAATGGAGAATATTCCTCCTAAATTAGTGCCGAATTGAGAAATGGTATTTATTTTTGAAAGTTATTACACCAAAAAGGCATAAATTCTAAGCACTTTAATCATGAATTATCTGTATACTGTCTAATATCTTATACTTTCTCTTTCCTTTAACAGCACCACAACCAGCAGCACTTAATCATTATGATGAAGATCCCATCAGGAGAAAATCCTGAACCAAGCAGACATCTTCCAATGCTGTCCCATCTGCAAGACAAAGTGTTTCTTCACAAGCAACATCAGGGGCATTGTTTTCACCAATATGCAGGACTCCGTGAAGATGCACTAGGGCCCCAGGAATTGAACCCAGGGCCACAGTACTCCAAGGTAGCAATGGTAACCTGGTAACCAGTGCGTCACTATGCTCCCTGAGCTTTCTTGTAGTGCTAATTATTATTTCAGTAGTTCACCCAATTTCCTAATTTATCCAAAGGTAGAGGGAAACATATTAAAAGTTTGAAGCATACAAAAAGTTTATTTTGCATAACTCCTCTGGTTGAGGCAATGGCAGCCTGCCCATGAGGATGAGGCTGATGGTACCCTCCTCTCCTCACAAGGAATGAGCCAGGGAGGGGCTGTTAGGGTGTAGATGGAGAAGAGGTGGGAAAGACTTCTCCTGAAAACCTGTTTAAAAATACCATATAATAAAACAATATTAATATCACTCTGACTGTGGTTTGAAATGCACTTATTAATGCCAATTATTTTAACCCTTAAATATAAAAATAGTGATGCAGTTCCCTTTTAAGGGCTATAAAGATGTGAGTATGCCATTGTGTTCAGTATGTGTCAAAGGGTGTCAACCCGGGTAATATTCTTCATTAAATCAGAAAGACAAATTAGTTTGTTGCTCCATTGCTGGGTTACAAAAACATAGGCCCTGATGTATTTTTTTAAACTCAGAGCAAAGGGGTTATGTTTTTTAAACACAGCTGGCTGACAGTTCTTAAAATAACTTCTTAGTGTGAGCCAAAAGCCACTTTACTATGTGTAGTACTCGGGGACTATGAACATAAATTATACTGTCTCCTCTCCCCCTTCCTTAACAGGAAAAAGAAATAAAGCAAATTAGACTCAACAAGACAAGAGGTAATGTTACACTAATGCATAACTTATTTAAACAGAACAATCATGGAATGTAAACAGAACATTCACACAGACAACTTTAACTTCCTCATGTAAGATATTAATTTAGAATATTTTGTTCCGCTTTATAAACAAAAAATATATATATTGCTGCTCTGGAATCAGTCCATAGAACAGTGAAACAGGACAAATTAAGAATTAAGATGAAAGTCACCACTCCAGCAGATTTGCAAATAAGGCCGTATTTTTTGTTTTTTCTCCCTTCCTGTCCCACCGTGAGAGTTCACTGGGGCTGAGCGTCTCCCCTCCTGTCCCACCGAGAGAGTTCACCGGGGCTGAGCATCTCCCCTGCTGTACCACCGTGAGAGTTCACCGGGACTGAGCGTCTCCCCTGCTGTCCCACCGTGAGAGTTCACCGGGGCTGAGCGTCTCCCCTCCTGTCCCACCGTGAGAGTTCACCGGGGCTGAGCGTCTCCCCTCCTGTCCCGAAGTGAGAGTTCACCGGGGCTGAGCGTCTCCCCTCCTATCCCACCTTGAGAGTTCACTGGGGCAGGCTGAGTCTTTCCTCTCCTGTCACACTGTGTATCCTCATCAGGACAGGTTAACCTCTTTTGGCCTCGCTCTCCTTTTTCTCTCGTCTGAACCCCGCTAAATAAGGATAGTCCAGCCTGGACGCTGCTTTTCCCAGTGGTGCATTTCTTTTTTCCCCCCCTCTTTTTGCTGACCTCACACTGGTGCCTCTACCCCTGTAACGAACAGTTCTTTCCGGACCCTATGCGGACAACACAATCCGACGGAGTGGGGAAACACTAGGGAAACGTCATGCAGGAAAACGGGGCTGAAGACAAGGGGGCGTGTCCAAGGTGCGCTGGTGCACGGGGGAGGTGTGGCCGAGGCGAACAATCCGAGAGAGTAGTCCTTTGGGAATATCCAAAACACAAGGGTAAGTCCAAAACCAGAAGATCCATCAGAAGAAGGAATTAAAAAACTCGAAGGCCGGGTCGGAACCAGCGGACGGGGAACAGGAACGGGAACAGAGGCTAAAACCTTAACGGGACCAGGCGCTTCCAGGTCCCGGACTCGCACGATATGGAAAGATGCAGAGCCCGGATGAGCGTCAGCGCCTGGCTTTTAAGGTGGGCTGGGAATAGGGAGCAGGTGCATAGAATAAAGTCTCACGTGAAAGGGCTGGAGCACCCTTAAGGAGGGGGAACTATAATCGTGACAGCCCCCTCAAATGGGGCATTTACTTTTAGCAGTGTTCGCTGTGGCTCCTCCCAAGGACCCGCGTTGTTCCAGTACATAGTTACTTATATTTCAAAAAGTGTTTAAATACAATATGCTGGTTATGTTATTTGAGTTTTTCCTTGGGATGACAAAAAGCAAAGCTTATTTTCTGAGCTGAGTAAAAACTTCGTTGATTGAGAAGCAATCTAAACAGCCACAGAAAAAGACATAATTTTACTTATGCAAGACCAGTAAAAGATATGAATATGACTGCTTGAGTAATAAAAAAAATCCTAATTACCATTTGTGCCATTGAAGGCAGACTATCTGTGAGTTCAGGTGCCCAGGGAATGACATGTTCTGCTTCAATAAGCAGTGGACTAGTCCAGAGAAACCAGGAACCTGGTTTCTGTGAGGGACAGACCACCTCCTTAAAGGCAGAGGGTCTTCTGACTGAATCTGAGCTTTAGTAGATTAATTGCAGCTCATTCGCAGTTTTCCAGCAGGATAAGAGTGATGACAGGCTTTTTCTTCGGACTGTAATGCCAGGGTGAGCAAGACCCTACTGTCCTCAGCCTCCATGGTAACCAACAATGTTTGCATGACGAGTCAAACACTTCCTGGTACCACGAGGACTCATTCAGGATGGTTGTCTCAGCCATTTGCCCCTGGGTAATGGGTAATCATCCCATTAACGGGTAATCATCCCATTTAGTTCAGGTGGGTAGCTGCGTCAGCATGCGTAGGCTGCAAAGGAACAAGTAATAGGTTTATTCCATGCTGAAAAAAAGAAGAAAGAGAACACAACGTTTCGGCCGTGGAGCCTGCTTCAGGTGTCAAGCACCTGAAGAAGGCTCCACGGCCGAAACATTGTGTTCTCTTTCTTCTTTTTTTCAGCATGGAATAAACCTATTACTTGTTCCTTTGCATCATCCCATTTAGTCAAGGACATTTAAACCCTGATCTGCCTATAGTCTGATACTCTGTCATTGATCTTCCATCTTCAATGAAGCTTGGAGCACAACCAGTCCGCATATGAAAAGGATCACCTGACTGACCCAACATAAGACGGCATTCACCAGCTGCACAAGACTAGAGTATCCCACAGCTGTCTGTCCAAAAGGTTGAGGAGATCCATGTCTCAGCACTGCCTGGAAGGTGTTAATTTGTCATCCGAGGCTACGTTTGTAATTTATCATGCTATTCTCATGTTTTATACTTATCATGATCTTCTTTTATACAACTTTGGTTAGTCAGTCAAAACACCTGAATAATTTTCATAAGTAGTTTCCTCAAGTTTAATGTTTCTCATTTTGTATTTATAATGCATGGAAATAGTCAGTTTTTGCTGCTCGTATAAAATGCTCTACACATGGCTACCAGGTGTTTACTCCTTTTATACAGATTAAGATCATTGATATAAACTAAGGAGAATGGCGATCCTAGGACAGGCTGTGAATTAGGTTGGGGTAGCCCAGTGGTGCAGTAAATAGCATTACTGTCTGGCAGCAGTTGGGCCTGGGTTCAATTCCAGACCTGGGATGCTACCTGCGTGGAGTTAGTACGTACGTTCTCCCCGTGTTCAGGTGGGTTTCCTCCAGCAGTCCAGAAACATAATGATAGGAAAATTGGCCCTAGGTGTGAGTGTGGGTCTGTCCTGTGACGGACTGGCGTCACGTCCAGGCTGTACCCTCTTATGCCCTTTACTTGCCAGAATGGGCTTTGACTTCCCTGTGACCCTGAATTGGAAGAGGTTAGAAATGGATGGATGGATTAATCGGGCTGTTTAGTAGGAGCCTCTTGCTTAAACTGTCCACCAGGTGGCACTCTCAGCTAGAAGTAAGGTGTACAACAGTATTTTTTTCTTGTTAAATGTTACACAGCCTTTCAGGATTTGTACAGCACTTTGTGGATTCATTCTGAATTATGATATAATCAGGAACAGGTTGTCCTGGGGAGTCACTTGAGTTTTTTTCCTCTTTGCTTGTTTCTGACTTACTAAAAAGAACCAGTACTAAAAGAACCACCTCTGGTTAAAAGACACTACAGAATAAATAGCAGTTACCAGTAGTGGGTGAATTGTCAGGTGTTCCCTTCATCCCATCTTCAGTAGAACACACATGCTTGAGCGTTTCTAGGGGTGAGCCCCAAAACCCATATGGATGAAATTGAACACAGGCGAGCAATTAGTGAATGTTTACATGTGAACAAATTGTGTAGTCACATTTGTTTAATTGCGTGGTGAGATTACACAATAACAGCAAAAGTCTTCTCTTTCAGACATTTTGGGTTAATAGTCATATTGTCTATTTTTAATTTCTATCATCATTCTTTGAATTCGGGCTCAACTTCATTTTCAACTACTGTTTCAGTTTCTGTGGCTTTTACAGAGGCAAATCCATCCAGTTTCCCTATATTTGCACACAGAGTCAAAGAGGCTGAGCCACAACAAGCTCCATTTCACTGGATTAAGCTGTCCTGCTCACACTGTTAACAGTGAAAAAAAATGTCATACAACACATCCTTTGCTAACAGTAGTTCAGAATTTTATGTTTCAGAATCGAACAAGGACTCTCACTCTTAACATTAGAGTTGTCGTGATTTTCAGCAGCGTCAAGCAGGGCATTTCTACACTATTTGTCTGATAAAGGACGGCTTTAACACTCTCAATCTGCTTGACTGGTGTAGCTTGTTTATTATCTTGCTCTTGTCTCATTCACTGCTGAAACACAGAGTTGAAGGCAGCAAAGAAGAGTATTAAATGTACAGAGCAGTTGTGATTGGTAGAGCACCTACTGTACTCTCATGAGGTGTTCGCACAGCCTGCTCCTGCTTGTCCCGAGAACAAGTGGCATTTATCAACTTTTTAAACATTTCACAGCTTTCTTTTATGGTATTATGATGGTTCTAATTATTTAAATTTTTCTGTTCACCAGGTGTCCATTACAAGTTTCTCACTGTAATTAATTTGAGTTCTTCTAACGTTTAAAAATAGATCCTCAGTCATCTCTATTATTTTTCAGTAAAATTAATACAGTGTCATACAGTAGTTTTAAAAACACAATATAGTGAATTTTCTATATCTCTCTTTCCGTGTATTTTAAAGTGTAATATGCTGACAGATATGCCCGGTAGGCCAACAGCAAGCTGTTGCCGTTTGCCACGGTAACATTCCCACGGACGTTCATATTCAAACACGTTCAGGTCGTTTGTCATTTTTCCCTATTTCTACTAATCGTCCAATAGTCCTCCTAATTATTCTATTTAAATCTTTATTTAATACTGTACGGCACTTGATCGGTGCTCTGACACTGCGCATGTTTTTTTGCAGGAAGCGTCTCTGTTTCCTGCATGAACACCCCAAACTGAAACCTAATCTGTCCGAAACAAGCATCAAACACCAATCCAGTGGCGTAATCCCTCAGAGCCTGTGGTTTTCAGATTGAAAAATCCTCTTTTTTTTCTTTCCGCTTTATCTTTTACACCCCGTCCCTGCTCTGCTCCTACACTTCGGCTCCCTCCGCCGTTTACCGAAGATCACCGAGTGCTTGTGTGGGGATCTCTGCCAGTCGCCAACCGCCGCAGTCTACATCTCCTAGCCGAGGTGTAAAAATGACTTGATATTTTAGTTTATTCATTTAATATAGATTTGGTGTATTAAATGTGCCATATTAAAGGTCACAATAAACCAAAAATAAAAAAAATCTAGTTGAAAAGAAGTCAGAGTGCGTTATTTCGTCTGAAAGACTGATGGCGGTGTAAGTCTTTCAGACGAAATAATGTTTGTGAAAAAACATTTAAAAATGAAATTCAATTTAGAAAATGTTAATAAAATATTGGGATTTTAAAATGGTTTTTAAAAAATACAATTGTGACAGATCCCATCATGTTATTGGAAAGTTTCAAAGACTTAACACAAAGTGTATATAGAATGAACAATTACACCATTTTTCATTTAAAAATAAAATGCGTTTCGGTGCTATATAATCACAGACATTCTCGCAGGCACGCGAGTTACGCCAAATACTTTATACTAGTTTTGATTTCGTGCCTTATTAATTAGGATCTAACCGAACTACTCAAGTACACATTAGTTCACAAAAATTAGAATTTGAAAAAAGAATGTGGTGTTAAACTTTTGGACACCACAGGGTTGACCACGAAAATGGAATATACTGTAGATTCCGTTTCTGCAATTAATTACTGTATCATAGTAGTTTACTATGACTGCCTACCGGGGTTTCAATTGAGTTTTTTACCCAATTTATATAAAATTTTGCAGTTCGACACATGATTTCTGTAAACTGCCGATGACCACTCTGTGTTTTTTTTGCAATTAAACTTGGAAAGTATAACGAGCAATTCAGTTTGTAAATAAAAATGTCTCTGTAAATGAGGTGAATCCAAGACTGATCTTATTGACAAACGGAAATTGACCAATATTGATGCCAAGATTTCAACATTGATTTTATTTTAAGTTGATACATTGTAGTCTAAGCACAGTGTGGCCTCATATTATTCTGCTGGAAACCAGAGACTACTAGTTAAGCTTGCAGGAACAGAAGATGTTTGACTCACGGACTTACAGTTATTGTATTACAGATGATTTTCATGCAGATGACAAACTGGAATTCCTCTACTGATCCTCAGGTTCAGTCAGATAAATATGATTGTCCAGGCTTGTGTGATGACCCTCTGCCTTCCACGATGTGACCTACTGTATACTTCACAGAACTGGGCTCTGGTTTCTCTGAACTAGCCTGCAGTTAATCGAAGCAGAACATCACATTCTCTGGGTAACTTTACTCACAGACAGTCTGCCTTCGATGAAGCTGATGTTAACTAGGTAATCTTTAATAGTCATATTTTTCAATTCTCTTGCATTAATTAAGATCATGTCTCTTTCTATGACTGTTTAGACTGGTTCTATAATATAATATAATATATAATATAAAATTGGAAATTATAACTGAGCTTAGACACTACACCCTTTACCTTGTGTTTTTTGTTATCCCAAGGAAAAATATTACTCAAACAACAAACAAACATATCCAAACACTATTCTAAATAAAAGTATCAATATATATATATACTGTATACACAATAACCTTGAAGGAAAACTTACAGTATATTCTGCATTTTCACTGTGCTGTACATCAATAAATACTTTTTGAACATAGTGATTTTGATAATAATCAATGCAGCATTTTCCACACAGAAATAGAAAATAATAACTTAATTGCTATTTACATTACCTATGCAAGTGAGATTTTACATGAAAGGAGGGTTCAGAGCAAAGAATGAAAAACCACAAGCATTGCAATGAGGGAAGGAAAGTAACTGACACACACAAGTACGGACCAGACACTTCACAGCACATAAGAAAACGTCCTCAGAGCTGTCTTACTGAGCCCCCATCATGCCCCTCACAGCAGCAGTTACTGTTCATGGAGGAGCCTCACCAGAGACACCAGCAATGTTCCTCCCAGAGAGAAGGGTGATCCTGGAGCTGATGTTGCTGCTCAGTGTGAGCTCACAGGTACAGGGTGAGTAACTGGTCTGCTGGCAGGGAGAAGAGTGGGACTCCACTGTCACTAGCACTGAGAGCCGTAATAATGTACTGGGTAATTACAGCAAAGCCAAATCTTAACCAAGCCTTAAACTCTGAGTCGGACGTACATGGAGTGCAAAGGGCCAAACCAACAACTGTTTAGTACTTTTTTTATACATTATAATACACTATAGAAAAAGTGGGGGAAATGGAACTTTTACTATATCCAGTACATGTTTGACATTTACTGTAGTAAACAGTTTCTTAGTAGTGCTTTTTTGTTTTTCATTTAATTCCACTTCAATCCATTTGTTTGATTAGGACAAGAGAATGTATGTAGCCTGGAAGTTGTTGTGCCTCGAAACTCAGTCTGGAATATCTCTGCCCTGAGAAGACTTACAATAAACTGTGGGCTTAAGTACTGTGAGGAGAAGCCTGTGGTTTCAATGCTGAAACGTGTTTATATTTTCATGTTATTTAATAAACTGATGTCAATGGAAGACGAAACATGCAGATAGTCTACTGTTAATGCTGTGAAGCTGATGCACCAGTTTTCTAAATTTTGTGGTAGAATGAGACATACAATACATTGATCACAGAGATCAAATCAAGAAATGCTCAGTACTTATAATAACAGATCAATGTAATTCTGTTAAGTATCAATGTAAGTATTCTATAAGTACTGTACCTAGAATAATAGAAATGTCGAATTGCTTGTATAGATATGTGTCATTTACTACAGTAAATGTTTTGGTCTGAAAATGTTTTCAATTTTAAGTGCCTTTGTTTTATTAGGAAAAGAGAGCGAATGTGCCCTGGAAGTTGTTGTGCCTCGAAACTCAGTCTTGAATATCTCTGCCCTGAGAAGACTTACATTAAACTGTGGGCTTAAGTACTGTGAGGAGAAGCCTGTGGTGAGATGGTGTAAACTTCATGAGAAAGCCTGTATCCCCGTAAAGGAGGCTGGCATGATCACAACTGAGTGGAAAGAGAAGGATCCCAATTCAGCCACCTATTCTCTAACTTTCTCTAATATAACCTTGGGTGACAGTGGTCAGTATCGATGTGAAGCTGCAGCAAATGTGAGCTCTGTGTACCAAAGCACTGTGAGCCACTCCATACTAGTCTCTGTGTCAGGTGAGTAAGTCTTTACTTTCTTGGGTTTCATATAAAATGGTACTATAGCACTCTGTCACCTTAATTAATGATTTTAAAAATCTGAATAAGGTACAACAGGGATCCTTACCTGGACTACTGGTTTTCATCATTCATAACAGTGATCAAAATTCTATACTATAAAGTATAAAATGGTGGTCTAAATAGGTATTTTATTAAATATGATTAAAATATTTTTCTGACTTTGTTAAAACAGTATTTGATTCCTTTCTTAAAATCAATGCATAATCACACTAGCACTTGATAAAAATGTCAGACAAATAATTAAGAATCTCTTCTATATAGGAGTGTGAACTGTATTGAAATTCCATTAAAGGCAGCTACAGTATTAATTAATACCTTGACAGATAATTATTTATTGTGCACCCTGTGTACATTAATTGTTGAATTGTCTTCATTTCTTTCAACCAGAGTACAAAATGGATTAACATGAGTTGCTGAGTAGATTATCGATTTCTCCAAACAGTTTGAAGCAGATTAATCTGAACTCATATCAGGAATTTAAAAGGTTGACTCACAGCTTACTTTAATTCACAGATCTCCTAAAGTACACCTGTTGTACTTTCTAATTGTTAAATGTTCTTTTTTCTTCTGTGAAGAAATCAATCTGTCCTTTCACTGAGTTCACTGCTAATATTCTTAAATTACTGGCATAATTATTCATGTATTTTTCATATGTTTAAGAGATTTCTATTTAAAACACAGAGATTCATTTATTGATAAAGTCAATTCATATCAGTATCGTGTACATTGAGCAAGGATTAAAAATATGACAACATTGATCACAGGGTTTAGATAATTCCTTCCTATTTTAGACTTTTTTGCCAAACTAATACACTATGACATTTTACTTCTGATGTACTGTAGGCTACTCACTTCAAAATAGCTTCCTACAGTTATAAATATTTTTTCTTTCAATTTGATTTCCTTAAATTAATTTAATCCATTTTGCCTTTAATTTGTAGTGATAATTAGAGGAACCAAACTGAATTCATTTCTGAATAATTAAGGGCAAAAGAGGCCACTTTAACCCTTGTTCTTCATTCTATCAATTGACAGAATCAGACATTGGGCTAACAAGAGGAGGCCTTTAAGTTAATTTTATTGGTAGTTAGTAGCTAATTGCTCTGTGGATCTCATCCAGCCATTTCTTCACAGAACCTAGAGTATCTGCCTCAACTACCTGGCTAAGTAGCTTGCTATATTAAATATACAGTAAATGCACAATTTAATGGACTTCGCTTTAAGGACCTAAAAAATAAAAAAATCCAAAGAGTATTTATGGCTGTAAAATTAGAAATGCTAGCATTTTCCCCAATATTAACAAAATGCCCAAAAAATAACACAAAGTAAAAATAAATTCTACATAGTTTTCAAAGTCAGGAATATCAAATGTGCCAAAAAGGTGTAGGTCAGTTGCATACAATGGGTGTTGATAGTGTTTCATATGCTTTAGCAAATTTGTTGTGCAGTAGTATATTTACAACATACTGTAAGAAAAAAAGAGCTTGTATACTTATGATAAAAAGGCAAAGGAACACATTTCATTGACTGTAGATTGCAGTTGTTAAAAAGGCAAAAGATCCAATAAGCATACAGTATATAATGCTTAAAGGCATTTGGCAATAACGGATAACCCTTCCCCACATCACTCTGTTAAACTGAAGGTTTACTGTATACACAGTAATATTGTATATTCCATGTGTTACAGTATATACTTGTCATTGCATTCCCTTGATCTGTTGTTATAAATTGCTTTTTGAACATTTTAATAGATATATTATGATGCAAATCATAAAGTTTTCAATGCTGAAACGTGTTTATAGTTTCATGTTATTTAATAAACTGATGTCAATGGAAGACGAACCATGCAGATAGTCTACTGTTAATGCCGTGAAGCTGATGCACCAGTTTTCTAAATTTCGTGGTAGAATGAGACATACAATACATTGATCACAGAGATCAAATCAAGAAATGCTCAGTACTTATAATAACAGATCAATGTAATTCTGTTAAGTATCAATGTAAGTATTCTTTAAGTACTGTACCTAGAATAATAGAAATGTCGAATTGCTTGCATAGATATGTGTCATTTACTACAGTAAATGTTTTGGTCTGAAAATGTTTTCAATTTTAAGTGCCTTTGTTTTATTAGGAAAAGAGAACGAATGTACCCTGGAAGTTCTTGTGCCTCGAAACTCCATCTGGAATATCTCTGCTCTGAGACGACTTACAATAACCTGTGGGATTAAATACTGTGAGGAGAAGCCTGTGGTGAGATGGTGTAAATTTCATGAGAAAGCCTGTATCCCCGTAAAGGAGGCTGGCATGATCACAACTGAGTGGAAAGAGAAGGATCCCAATTCAGCCACCTATTCTCTAACTTTCTCTAATATAACCTTGGGTGACAGTGGTCATTATCGATGTGAAGCTGCAGCAAATGTGAGCTCTGTGTACCAAAGCACTGTGAGCCACTCCATACTAGTCTCTGTGTCAGGTGAGTAAGTCTTTACTTTCTTGGGTTTCATATAAAATGGTACTAATCAAGATTAAAAACACTTCAGAGCTTTTACTCAACGCACATTTAACATCTACAGTTGTACATTTTACCAAAACACAGTTGTTTATTGAGTAAAACTTATCCTCTACACAGAGGTACAATGCAGAGGTACACAGACCCCACAATTTCGCCAAATTCAAATCACTGAGCATCAATAGGAATCTTACTATACTGAATATCAGTGATTCTGGACAATCGTACAGATGTGCATCTCATTTTCTGAGGTCAAATTCAACCCTGTCAGGTTGCTTCAAGTTTGCAAGTATTACACATGAGATCACGTACTGTTCAACATTGTGTATCACATTCCAAATTACATAAAAAACATTTTTCCTGTTTCAGAGAAAATTATTACTAAAAGCTGTGAAAACAATACAACAGAAGGTAAGGGAATATATATATATAATTATATTATATAATAATTATGTATAAGAGAGGTAGATCCTGCCTAGAAATAGAAGCTAAGAAAATAGAATGATGATAATGTTTTATAACTTGAAGCTTTTTTAATTCTATGCACAAATCCACCAATGTATCCTGGATTTATCAATTATTTTTGGCAGATGGAACAGGGTTTTGACATAAATCATGTTTAAGCCAGGAAGAACAGTCTAACAAAAATAGCATAAATGCTTATTGAAATGTATACTTCATTAATTTGTCAACATTGTATAGAAAACTTTTTCATTTGTAACCATCAATGTTATATGATAACCAACGTCACGCCCGAAGTGTTATCTGCTTTGTGTTCCTGGCAGTATCTTGCGGATATTCTTTGAATCGGTGTGTTGGAGGTAATGTATTTTGTAGTTTGATGGCTGTTTCATGGGTTTAGATATATCCAAATTAAACTGGAAGCTCTTCTTGACAGGGCACCATGAACTTTATTGGTTCAGATAAAACATAACAGTTAATAAAAACAACAGTGACTTGATGACAATCCGTTTGTACACATACAAATGATGCAACAGTAAAACCATTTCTAAATATTATGCTTATCCTAACTGACTAAATCCTGTTGTTTGTTTCAGGTGATGTCATCCTACTGTCAGCTAGCCCTTCCTGGATACTTTTTATTTACAGGTGTGCTGGAGTGGTGACTTTCATCATTATCCTGATCTTCCTCTATTTTTTTCTGTATCCGTGGACAGGAATGTGAGTAATGAGAATAATACCACACCACCTCTCAGTCTGTAGGATGGTTCTTTTAGACCAGGAATCTGTTTGCTCTTCTCTGGATTGAGTCTATGCACTATGGACTACAATGTCTTTTCTATACCTTGGTCACCAAAAGTGGATGCAATACTCTAAATGAGGTCTTACTACTGCCTTGTACAATTTTAACATAACATCCCATGACTTCAATTCTATGCTTCTAGCTAGATTTCCTAACAGTTTTTGCATCTTTATTGCTTTCCACACATTTTCTTGGTACACAAAGATATTTTATAAAGTGTGATTGTGCTACTTTTTGTTTTTCCTTTGTATTCAATATAAAACCTTAAACTACCCGGCACCTTCTCAGAAAATAATGACATACAAGTAGTTGTCATGATAAAAGAGGAACGCATTCCTAAAACATGTCACCTTATTCATAAATGAATAAAAATAAAACTAATTCCCCATATGAATTTATGTAATTAGGGAGCTGGGTTTGAATATAATATTAAACATGCTGTAGGTACCAGAAGTTTTCAGAATGAATGTGTGTGCTGATCTAAAATTGTATTTACATTAATAAGGCGTTTTCATGCTTCACCTTAACACAACAAAATTACATTTATGGAAGACCTGTTCCTCAGAGTTAAGCTTCAGCTAATTAATATTTATTTAAGGTATCTTCAATATCTAACAGCACAGAATATCTTTGACAAGAAGGCACCAAAATACATTTTGCTTTAATTAGCAAAATGAATTATACCATACACATTTAATGTGCCATTTGTGCTAGACTCTTCAAGATTACAGTCTGATTGTTCATGAATTTAACATTTTTACTGTATAATCAGACAAATTATTTTCTTTGGAGTTAAGTTTTTGTTTTGTTTTTCAGACACTTACATTATTTGAGGACATTATTGATTTTATTTTATGCTTTATGCAAAATAACCACAAGGTACAGACTAAGATAATAAATTATTTTATGTATTATTAAACATAAGAGGATGGGAGGTTAACTGTAGCTGGAAAAACACAGATACAGATCCCCCAGTTGCCTGTCTGTCCTATATGAACTGACTATTCATCTGGACTGCAACCATGAACACAGTACATGTACCGCAATATTGTTTTTAACAGTCCATCAGGATACCTTGATGCAGTCAAGATGCTGACCGCTTGCAACCATAAAAGTGAGAAGTAATTTGTCCTAAATTAAGAGATTATACACATTTGTGAGATGTGTTAATCGATAAACTTTCACAATTAGAGGACTTTAAAGAAAGGCTACCTGTATACGTTTCCTTATTGCTCTTTTTGTTTTTCTTAGCAGCACCACAACCAGCAGAACCAGTCCAGACACAGCAGGTAAGATTCCAACCAGCACTATAGCTCCAGAAAGGAAGGTTACAAAATATGTTTTTTTAGTTGTTTTCATAAAAGTTTAAAATTACATCACACACAAAATGGGACAGACACAAACACCCATATCTGATCATTTGTCCCTGTGTACTGTGCACTTCTTGATGCAGGAGGATGATATTTATAACCCAAGACCAGAAGTGCCGTGGAAATCTTATCACTCTGAATATTGATCCATTTAATGTCACTGTTTTGGAATGTTTCTCCGCTTCGTTTTCTTGTAAATGTCTGGCTAGACAGTGGCCTCTGAGAATTGTTTTTCTTCTTCCATGTTCACAGCACCTCGTACCAAATACGTCTCTGCCAGGCAGTGCTCCTCCCAGTCTCCATGATCGGCCTACAAGTGTTCGTTCCCAAAGAACCAGTCCTGCCACAGAGCCAAATATTGTATTCGATGATGAAGATCCAATCAGGAGGAACTCCAGAACATCATCCAATGGCGTTCCATCTGCTAGACAAAGTGTTTTTCTTCAGGCAGCAGCTGGGTCAGAGGACTGTGATGACTATGACGATGTGGAGAACAGTGAAGAGGACCGGTGTTGATTTCTAAAGGTTAAAAAGAAGGGATTGTATTAGAGTGATCAGTTGCATCTTTTTCCATCAGAATCTCAGCCCAGAAGTATGAAAGTTACGTTAGTAAAGAGTTTTTCCGTTTTCCAGTTCTGTTTCCTCTTAAGCTTTCACAAATACTCAGGTCTTTCAAAAGACAAGCTTTCAGATTAGGGTGTTGGTGTTCTGCCATTGAGTAATAAAGCCAACCAAATTTCTGAGGAGTTTTCCTGATGTTTTCCAATGGTTTGAATTTTTGCTGTGAGACATCATAGAGTCAGTAATATGAGACAGGAAATTATAGCATTTAAAAAAGTTAAATATGAATCCATAACAGCATACCAAATGTAAAATAGGAGTGATATCATCACACCAGAAATATTTATATTGTAGATGTGTACAAGATTATTATCATAAATTACATTTCATTCATACTAGTTCTTTATAAACATTTTTTTCCCTGTGTGGAGTAGAAAGTGCCTTATAGAATTCCTTTTGATATATTAATACAAATATTTTCAGCAGGCCGGTATGGTGGTCCAGTGGTTAGCATTGGTGCTTTGCAGAGCTTGGGCCCTGAGATAAATTCTGGACCTAGGGTAATATCTTCTCAAGCTTCCTCTCAGTCCAAAGACATACTGGAAGACTAATTGGCTTTTGGGAAAATTGGCCCTGGCATGAGTGTGTTTGGGTCTGTGTGTGTTCTACGATAGACTGGTGTCCTGTCCAGGGTGTGTCCTGTCTTATGCCTCTGGGTTGCTGGGAAAGGCTCTTTCTTCCCTCCACCCCTGAACTGGATAAGGCAGTTAGACAATAAATTGATATTTTCATTATCTGATCATCTCACAAATTTCATTTTGTTTGCTTTGTGATTTAAAGCCTTTTATTCATGATTAATATGAACATGTTGACATTTGAACTACCTGTAACAGTCACAGGCTTGGGTGAACCACAAGTGCAACAGTGATTCCCACTGTCCAGCTGTGTGGGTCTCTGCCTGTATATCTGTCCAGCTGGAAGTTAGCCGAGAGGGAACGTGATCAAGTATGGAAGACATTGATGTTGTGGTTAAAGCTGTTGAACATACTTATGCATGTATTTCTGTTGTATTGATCACTCATATCAATCTTTTTACTTTTTCAGATGCAATCTGCATAAGCAGAACATACAATATGTGTTCTGAATATTTAATATTTACCTCCTAACAGTCCTTGAATAAATAAAAACATAATCAGCAATTTATAGTATAGATTATTATTCTATAAATAAAGTATTGTAATCTTCCTGTCCTACCAAAGATGCAAATACCTCTTTTATTAAAACTATTTCATGTCAATCCTTAATTTAATTACGGTCACAGCAATTGTAAAATTGACAGATCATAACATACAGATGAAGTAAGTATATTTTTTATGAAATGTTACTTGCAGTGTATCACAAACTATTTGCATTGCTGTCTGAGCAAAATTGTTTTTTATGTCATTTTGTCATTTGTTTTTTGAGTTTACGTGAGATTATATTTTTGTTTTTAGATTTGAAAGTAGAACTGGAAAATCCTTTCTGCACAAGATACAGGATTAGACATAATGTAGGTCTGTTTCACAGTATATTAGCAACATATTTCAAATAGTAAACAGGATCAAGCAATGCATAACCATTCATTCCATTGCTTAAAATGATTTTAATATATTTCTCAGAAAATACAGTAAAACACTAAAGTACAGGTTGTACTGTATGTCAAAATGTATTTGCTTGTCATTACATTTTAAAGACCACATAACGTGCTGAAACTAACTTGTGAGCCTCAGAATGTCGTCAAGATTTTTGCAAATGCATTCTTTGTGACACAGTAGGTAAAAGAATACACATTTAGACATGTTTGTGGTTTAGTATCTACAAACAATGTGTTTGCGTTTGAGGGCCTTAGCGTACACTCATCTTCAGTCAGCACTTCCTGTGCAACTCCAATTGCTCTGTTAGAGTGAAGGACCTGTTCTTTTCTGACTTTCTCTTAAAAGATTCAATCCTGTTGAAACGTACTGACTGATACGGCTAGAAAATATTTGAAGTTTGTAAGCCTGCTATAGGTATTGTGGATGAAACACACAAACACATATTGCAATCATGAGACATGTGGAGGGCATTACTGTAGCTTCAGTTATCCATGTCAATTCTAGTGACTGATTAAGGCGGAGTGCTTAAGACTTTAATGTTTGGCGTTAAATTGTCGAGGCCAGGTTAAAGAAATGCCAGTCCTGTCCAAAGATCAAACCTTAGACAACCCCTCTCACTTACAAGGAATGAACCAGGGAGGCAGCTGCAAGGGAGAAGCTGGTGTGGAAAGAGGGGCATAGAAAAGATGCACAGTTGTGAGCAGCCAGTAACTATTAATATGTAGGAGAGCAGAGGTGTCACTACCACCAGCCAGCAAAGATCAACCCACAAAAGAGCTAACCAGTGCCAGCAGCGGGTTAATCCATCATCACCCGCTCTACCGTGCGGCACACAGCTCTGTTTAAACCTTCTAAACTCGCTTCTCGCTACTCGGTATTGATTCCTCTCCTAGAGAGCTCCTACTGTACCTCGCCTTGTTGATAAAAACCCTTTCGTGATACTCCTTTCGGCTTTTGAACTACCTTTGCTTTAGACTACGAACTCACCGAACGTTTTGGATTGGACACCTGTGTTTCTGTATCTACGTTCTCCTTCGTCTGAAGAGGATCCTCATACCTCATCACTTGGATTTGTTACAGGAGGAGCAAGATTACAATTTGTTCTCATCCCAAATATCCCTTAAATAACACCATATATTACAAACTGCAGACCATAACTTTGTCATTGTATTTTGCTTTATGTTCAGGCATCTTTCTAAGTAGAGTGTGGTGGTCCAAAAATGTCTTTTCTATTAATAGTACTTGGGGACTGTGGGGTGGAGAGACTTGATTAACCGTGAGTTGAGTTCCTTGCATCTGAGCAGCCTGGAAGGAAACATTCCTGTTATTAAGACATTATTTAACGGAAGTCATTTGCTCAAAACTGCTGTTACTCGAATAGATCGGTCAGATACTTACACCCTTCTTCTCTTTACTTTTGCCAAAGATCCTGGATCAAAAAATCCAGATCCAAAAAAATCTGATTTAATAAGTATTTGTGTAAGTTCAATCAGATCACTGTTTTGTAGTTAAATTTATTTTCAGCGACTTTGGAATTCGTTCCTTTGAAATAAAAAAATAAAGCCTGGACATTTTTCTTTCAGACATGACGGCAGCAAAATTACTCTTTTTAGAATCAGTCAGAAACAACCAAGTCGGAAAACGCTTCAGTTTCCCGGGAATTCAAGTGCTTACCCGGGATATGCTGTCCCTAAATACATAACATATATATCAGAAAGAAGAGAAATCACATTCTTCAACCTACACAGTAATACTAAATTAGCAAGACAAAAATCCGGGCCACACTGTTTTACACTTTGCTTGTAGCCGAGTCTGCCATCTGGTGTACAGTTTAGACAACAGACACTTTCAGCAAAACGTATAAGCCTGTATTTCCTTTAATATGGCAGTGTCCCTGTGCCAAGAGGAATACAAATATTTTAACATAGTGCTCTGTGTTGGACTTTATATACTTCCAATTAGACCTTTTAACCTCCTATGTCCTAAAGACTTTTGACACTGCTCTTACATATGCGGAAGTGTATCCATGTGATCTGCAGGTACTGTAGTTTGCTTTTCCTGCAACAAGCATAACACCACAAGACATCCAGAAAGGAAGGTTGCATTTTTATTGTTTTCATATAAGTTTAATATGATATCCCCAGCCCTGTTATCAGAAAAAAACACAAACACAAAAGGGAGCAGACCCAAACTTCCATATTTGATCATTTCTCCGTGTGTACTGCACAAAACCTGTTGCAAAAGGCTGATAATTATAACTCAGGCCCAGAGGTCCTGCGGAAAGTTTATTACTCACAACATTGCTCTATTTAAATGTCACTATTCTGGAGTTTGTTTTCCTCACTATGTATTTTCTTGTACATATCTGGCCATACGACAGTTTGTTAGAATTGCTTTCTTCTTTTGTGTTCACAGCATGTCACGCCAACAGCCTCTCTGCCTAGCATTGCTCCTCCCAGTCTCCCTGATCAGCCTAGAAGTGTTCATTCCCAAAGAGCTGGTCCTAGCAAGGAGCCAAATACTGTATTTGATGATGAAGATCTTGTCAGAAGAAAATCCAGGACCAAGCGCACATTATCCAATGGCGTTCCATTTGCAAGACAACATGCTTCTTCCAAGGCAGCAGCTGGGGCAGATAACTATGATGATGTGGAGAACAAAGCAGAGCATAATTAGAGAGGGATTGTATTACAGTGCCCAATTGCATCAAGATCTCCACTCAGAAGTACAGTATGAAAGATACTGTATATTAGCATAGTGCTTTCTAAGAATACAAATAGGGATATGTTTTGCAGGCCTCTTTCTTCATATGCTTCCTGTTGTTTTATGGGGCAGTGAAACAGAAAGTAAAACAGGAACAAATACTTCAGTGATGGTAAAACTGGAAAACTGTTAAAATTGAATAACACACACAGTAAGATCATGGGTTAATCCTCTTTTGCCCCTTGTTACATACTGATAACAAATCTGTATTTTTATAGGTCTCACTTATTGTGCAATGGAAGAAAAATAATTCAAATAATTGATTTTAACTGTGTTTCCATGTTATAAGCAATAGAGGGTTAACCCAACAGTAGTTTTAAATGTGGTATTTCTTTACTTTCTGTACATAAAACTGTCTACAAATTGTAAATGCTTTCATTCATCCATTTTGTAAAAATCAGTTCAGTGAGCAGACAAACCTTGCTTTTATATTTCAAAGTAAAACTGGGAAACCATTTTCCTGCACAAGAAAATATGGATATGTAGTTTTGTTCTTAAGTATTTAACAAACTTTTTCTGCCATAAATCTAAATGCATAAACATTGATTTTTTAAAATTTTAAATTATGGTATTGTTCCTATAATTATCATCAAACACAGAAAGAAACTTTAAGGTTCAAGAAGTTCTGCTGTATGTCTCTTATACATTTCTTATTCATAATGCACTCAGAATTAGGTCAAGATTTTTCCAATGCACTCTTTGTGTCACTGTAGGTGAAAGAACAAACATTTAGATTTGCTTGTGGTTTATTATCTACAAACAATACATGTGTGTATATCTGAAGGCCTGAGAACAGATCTTTTAATCATATTCAGTCAGCACTTCCTGTGCAACTCCAACTGCTCTATTAGTAAAGCACCAGTTCTTATTCAAAGTTTCTCTTAAAAGAATTACTCAGAATCAGTTGTTGGTCAAGTTCAAATGATGGTGAAACATGCATATAAAGGGATAGTGTACTTAATACTTAACACAAATAATGTTTGGTGTTACCTTGCCTGGATGAGGAAAAATAGTTCTGGTCAAAGATCAACACATCAACTCCCCTCAATTATGTGGAACAAGCTAGGGAGGCAGCTGCAAGGGAGAAGTTGGGGTGAAGGAGAGGTGTAGAAATCTGAGTATTTATACATGTATGTAGGAGAGTGGAGATGCAAGTTACAATTTGAACTCATCTTGACTCATCTGTTAAAAAACGCCATACGTACAGTATATTGTAAATCATACACCTGCATGATTTCCATAATAAAGCTAACAATATTGTAGAAATGAAGCCTTTACTAAATTAATTGGATCTCTGTTTTTTACTATTTGTATTTTGCTTTGGATTCTGCAACATCAAAAAGACATATGCTAGGGTACAGCTGCTTTCAATAACTGCATGTGAGGAGTGACATTTTTTGCACATATTAATGTTGCCCTTAATTCCTAAAACATGCATGATTACATAGAATAACAATTGATTTGTTACATGTCAGAGATGAAGGCACAACAAACTATTAGTACCAGAAACATTAACTGGCATCTCTGTCACTGCCAGACTAGACAAGATCTGTAGTCTGTTTGCAAGTTCATGTGATATAAGTACTACACTTTGGTTATAACGTATTCTATGTGAAACATGAAAATTAAATGAATGTCTGTTAATATTCATCTTTCCTGTGCATATTGAAGGATGTGTATTCAGTAATAATAAATATAATTATTATTATGGATCAAATTAATTCGCACAACAAAAAATGCTAAAATAATTATATTA